CTGATGTTTAAAGAAAGAAGTCAAAGAAGTTACAAACCTGCATGAGACGTGGCTGTCCTCCAGCACTGAGAGGCCTGCAAGGGATGGTGGTCTTCTCCGTCACTCTCAGCCACTTTTCTCTCACTGACCCACCCCCGTCCATGATGCTGTCCTCGGATTCACTCTCCTGATCCTTGCTGGTGGGATTTTCCTCCTCTGGGATATGAACTAGCTGAGAGGATCCAGGCCGGGACTGGATAGATACTCTTGCCCCACCAGTTACTGCAGTGCTCCCATTATGGGACAGATGATTATGATTGGCCATAGGAACAGAGCTAGCTGCTAGTTTCATGTACTGAACTGGGATGTGCGCCCCAGCACGCAGCTCAGCTTCCTGGCCTGTGGCTATAGGCAGGTGGGTCCCACCGCGGAGCTCCACCTCCAGACCCATGGCAGACGGCTCAGAGGAGCAGCGCAGCTCCATGTTCCTCTGAGGAGACGAAGAGGAGGCTGGCCTGATACCGTCTATCACCTGCAGAGACAGCTTCCTGTTGTCGTTCTTGTTCTTCCATTGGCTGAGCAGCTGTTTGGACCGGGTTGAGTCCATCGAGGCGTGGATGGAAGCGTGACGCCGTGGAATACGACCTTCCTCCAGCGAGGAACCTCCGTGGGATCTGAAAAGAAAGATAAAGGCACTATGAGAAGAAAGAAAAGAGTGACAGCACTGAGCTCATGATCTTCTTTGCTTGATCTTCACAAATGACTAATTGATTTTGGTAAATATAATTGTTCTGTCAAATTCATAAACTGAAAGCACAAATGCCCAGTTAGCGTTCTGGTAGAGCAGCCTTCTGTTATCTTTGTGCCCATGAACATTTCCAAACATGTTATGGTGTTGTTTAAAGTCTGGACATTTCTAATATAACACAGCATCACAATTTAATTTGAAACAACCCCCACCAAAAAAATAATAATTCAGCACTGTATGGATACTCAGAGGACAGAAACCTGGGGACTGGCATTCATGTCGCTGTCCAGCGGCAGCCCCAGTCTCCCCAGTAGGACGATGTACTGGATGCTGAGGTTACTGGTTCCACTGTATCTGACAGAACATCCAGAGAGGAGAACAGCAGCGTGAGCCACATAACAGGGAGCATGCAGAGGCCCGTGGCCTGCATGCAGCTGTTCTTCATGTTGCACATGTGGCTCTTGTGTTTCTGTGGCGCTCTGTGACTCTTACCAGCTCTGTTTCTGGGGCTCAGTGCTTCTGCTGCGTTTTGACTGCCTTTTTGCTGTTCTGAGGTCAGTAGGAAAAAATGGCAGTCATAAAGAATCAAATGATTTTTTGTTGTGCAGCAAGCAAGTGTTGCCGTCAAAAAAGGAGCAGGGCATCAAATTGTTCTGTGACTGCTTTCAGCGAAGGCATTTTAAATGAAGTTAGCTCAGGAAGTAGATAACACACTCGTCTGAAGTGCGAGGCCACAGCTTCTCCTTCTGCACCACCTTAACCCCGAAGATCAACCCTGCAAGCGATACTGTCGTGGTATTCTTAGTCTTCGTGTGTTTTGTATTTTGTTCTTTATTCATGCCTTGGTTCCTAGGTTCTGTTAAGATGTTCCTTATTTGGTTCCCCCCTGTGTATCTGTGAACCCTTGTTTCCCCTCCTTGTGTTTTATTCCCCAGCCCGTTATGTCTGTGCTCTCTCCTCCTGTCTGAACCTCTGTGCACTTCCTGTTTTACTTTGACAGTCTCTCGTCAGTGTGCGTCATGTTGTGTTCACTCCTGCCCTGTCTCGTTACGATTATCTGTGTCAGCTGTGTTCCCGATGTGCTCCCACTTCCCTCGTTTACTCTCTGTGCATTTATGTCCACGTCTCCCTCGGTTCAGTGTCGCGTTCTCCCTCATGCTGTGTGTGACTCTCCCTGTGTTTCCTGGTGAGCTTTATCTTTAGTTTTTCCCAGTTTAGTTTTGTATTACTCGTGATTCGTCTTGCCAGCAGTAAAGCTGTGCTTCCTGAGTTTATTCCCCGCGTCCCCTGAGTTTTGCGTTTGGGTCCTCTCCTGCCTGCCACACAGCCTAATCATGACAGACTGCACAACAAGCCTGTGTAGAAATGTAAGGAAAGTACAGATTTTTGCCTAAATATAGGGAGTAAAAGTAACGTTTGCAGAAAAATATATACTCCAGTACATGTACCTGACAATTCTACTTAAGTACAGCAACAAAGTATTTGTACTTTGTTATCTCCCACCTCTACTCAGGCGCTGCTTTGGACTGTTCTGCTAACACTGTTGGCTTTGAGTCTGTCTCCCTGTCCATCTACACTGTTTCTGTCCAATAAAGGCTAAAAAATTTTCCTGTAAGATGCTTCACATTGAGCCGTCTGTCTTTAAACATCCTGTGCCTCAGGGGATCTTTGTTTTTACACACACAAACATTAGCTCCTGGTTTTGTTTGTTCTTGTTACCTTGGGGACGTCATCTATTAGTACGTTACTCAAATACTTGTTTGTACATGTATAAACCTATAAAGTGAAACAGCTACACCGCCCCATCAGAGAGCCGTTTTGCATCATCGTCCCTGCTCCACAGTGGTTCTGTCCAAGTCGTTTCCAAACCAGTTGTTCTCAGTGTCACCACACAAACTGTGAGGCTCCTTCCTCACATCAACAGACAATTTTGTCACCTCTGAAATCCCTTTGCTGTCTCTGTCATTGCACACTGCCCGTGGGAACAAAGGCACTCAAGGCCAACTGTGGAAATTAAAGAAAAAATAATATACAAATGTATTTCCAAACTTCCAATAATATTCCAACTACATGCATTCACACAATAACAAACAAAAAGTGTACACACACACACGTATGTATGTACTGGTATTTCACGTCTCAATGTGTACTCAGTGGCGGCGGACTCTGTGAGCTAAGACTGCTTGATAAAGACGACGGGTGAAAGAACTGTTCACTCATCTGCACATAAAACACACTTTGTCCTCTCTTATAAACACAACAAGAACTTACTGTTTTACTCCTACAGCATAATCTAGTCTGTTCATATGCTCAGCGAATGCCAATGACTGCACGCTGCAGTTCTGTTATTCTACGGCCAACGGCGTCCCTGCAGAGGTCCCGCTCCATCACAGTTAACCTGTTAACAGCCACCGCCAACGCTACATCCAGAAAAGGCAAAGAGTAATGGCAGCATTAAACTGGCATTCAGTTTTTTACTTACATTTTCCATTCTGTTCACCTACTTCTAGATTCAGTGTTACCCGGATGAACGACTTGATATTTGGGTTTCTCACATCTACAGATCAGACAGATCTCTCTGAACACATCTCTCTAGCTGCAGTGTGTGAATGGAAAAACAGGCTATTATTACTGATGTACGAGGGTGAATACAAAGAACTGGTGTTGCAGTGCTTCCATGTTTGTTCTTCCCCAAACCTCCCACTGTTTGCTTGGGAAAAACGATGATCTTCCAGGTATCGTACCGAGACCATTAAACAGTATATGATACTCTATCTTCAAATTGTAAAGCAGCATTAAACATGTGTTCAGAATACTTGTTTATTAGTTTATTAGAAAGTTAATATAAATCCTGTTGCCAGAATAAATGACCTACATTAAGTCAAATTCAAATTCAAATTTTATTCAAATTTTATTTGTCACGTACACAGTCATACACAGTACGATATG